TTGACACAAGGAGAGTCACCAGCAGAGATAAAGAAAAGAAGAGGATGTCTCTCTCCACAAAGCCCATTTCAGAGTGACAGAAGGAGCATCTGCTCTATAGTAATATTGGGGGACTGATCACACCTCTCAGCATCAGACAGATCATCTAGGCAACAAATCAACAGAGTAACCATTATTGTTTCAGAAGGAGAGAAGAAATCTAGGGTAATTGGTTGTGGGGGGAGAGGTTGGACAAGGGGTATAAAGAATAAGTACAATTTGTAACAATATATATGTTAGTAATATTGATTTGATTAACATATCTCAATGTTGAACCCCCCAAATATGTATAATCGATTTTGATTCAATAAATAAAATTAATTTAAAAAAAAAGACCCCTCAGGGTCCTGGAGGTAAAGGTGGGCAAGTGAAGACCTAGAAGATTCCCAAATATGTATAATCGATTTTGATTCAATAAATAAAATTAATTTTTAAAAAAAAGACCCCTCAGGGTCCTGGAGGTAAAGGTGGGCAAGTGAAGACCTAGAAGATTCCCACAGTGAGCTGGTGAGGACAGAACTCAAAGCAGGGGAAACATAGACCCTAAACAACCAGCCGCAGCCCTTGTAGGCAGGCGGGCTGTCCTCTGAGCACCCCAAGCCCCACCACTCCCTGCAGCCTCACACCAGAAGCCTCACCCATTTTCATGACTCACCAGCCCCCATCAGCAGTTAGCTGGTAGCCTCTTGGAAATACACAGGCACAGATGTCACAACCCCACCCGATCCGCAGGCCTCCTTCCCCATAACTTCATCCACCTCCCTGACACCCAACATTCAGCAGCAGAAAACCCAGCTGACATCAGGAATGAAAAGCCACCTCCTGCAAAGAGCACACCTCTACCCAGGAGAACAGTCAGAAACTTTCTATGTAGGATGCCTGCCAACTCCAGGACGCTTTGTAAAGATAAGTTGAATAATGGACGGTCCATCTGATACACGTTGCTCTTTTATTGCTATGCGTCTGCGTATCATTTTACTGCATCCAAAAATGCCAACACGCCAAACTCTGGGGGAAACAGCCTCATAACTTATTCATAAAGAAGAAAGTCATACGCAGTGATGAACGCTAAATGACATAAATCATTATTTTTACTTTAAATATTGGTCCATTTGAACAGCTCCATTTGCAAATGGATTAACTCACTCTTTTTCAATATTAATGTTTGATCCATACAAGATACTTAATCTGAAGCTCACATCTTCCCCCAAATCTAATATAAATCAGGTTTCTTTAGGCAATTTCAAAATCTATTGGAAGGGCAGCTGTAACTTTATAAATGGAGGGAAAAAAAAAACTATCAAGAAAGTAATTGCCGAGTAGAAGAAATACCTGCTTCTTATCTTGTGTTTTCTTAAAATCTTCACATGCTAGCCAAAACAAAACATTTTCTTCACTGAATTCCTTTTTTAAAAATTCCTACAGATAAAAAGAAAAAGAAATCATACAGTGTTCTACTGAAAGAAAAAAAAAAGATGCATTTCCTTTCAAGGACTGATATAGCAAAATTCAACAGATGAGCACAGTTCAATCACCTTTGAAAACTCCAGCCTGAAAAACAAAGAGTATGTTTAATGTTAAAGCTAGAACTCCATATACATTTGACCTTAATGGCTTTGACATTGTAAGGAAGAGTAAAAAATGAAGCAGGAATCTACTCACATTTCTAAGCTGACAGTAAATTACCAAAAAGTAAATTAATGTGGAAGATACATTAGTTCCTTCCAGACAGAGTTTAAACAAAGTACATTCCTCTAAAATCAGGCCCTTTTTTTTTAAACAAAAGGAAAGAAAGCATTTTAAGCATGTCTAAAAATGCCACAATGAAAACTATTTTAAGTTGGAGGTGAGTTTTCTTTTGCCAGATGTTGGGGAGTTAGTGGTGTGGTCAGCCATTCTGCTATGCAGAGACTTTCCTTACAGACAGACAGTCTCACCGTGGCTGGTGACCAGGAACTAGTGGCCCAAGCACAACCTGCCACTTCCTCCCTGGGAGCCATGACAGGAACCAACAGCATGAGGGCTCACTCCACCTGACCCAAGACTTAAAGACACAAGTTGCTGGGACTCATTCTTGAAATTCACATGTGGTCCTCCAACTGGCACCTGGGGTTCTGCTGGCCAAAAAGGTTATTTCCAGGTGGCACTGACACTTCCACATCCATCAGCCCTCTTCTTTGAGGTCCCTTTGCCAAGTTCACATGGCCACCCTCTCTCACTCTGTTCACAGTGCATCCTGAGAATCCCTCAGGCACAAGACAACAAACCTTCACATCAGAGAGAGCCAGACCACCCCCTTCCACGCGTCACAAAGCTGGAAATTCTTCATATAAACAGACTCCACCAATACATTTTCCCCATCAACCCTCACCCCTCCCACCCACCTACACAAAATCAGAAACAAACTGTGCATGCCCCTCGGTGCTAGTCCAGGGCTATCCTTGAGTGCATTGCCCATGTGGTCATGACAGATGAGAAGGTCTTACTGTCAAGTTGGGTAGACAGTGTTAAGCAACGAAAAAGGCAAACCCTAAATCTTTTCACGCCTTCTGGGTCTTCCAGCAGATTCTCCAGGGAAGCTGCCCATTTGGCTGTGCTCTTGAGGCTCTGGTGGCTGCTGCTGGAACTACCATCACTGTCGTGGATGTCTGCAAAACAAAGTTCAGACTGTACATATGACCCAAGGATACTGTCATTTTAAAAAATCTGCATTCAGTGGTCCTCATCACCATCACCACTGTGGCTGACATGTATGAAGTGGTGTGCCACGCTCTATTCTGGGTGTGTAACACAATGGACTCATTCTAGTCACAATAGCCCTGCAAGACAGATGCTACTATTTCCTCCATTTTACAGATGAGGAAGACTGAGGCTCAGAGTGATAAAGGGGCTTGCCACTTCCCAACACATCCTTCCCCCACCCCGGTGTCCAGTGGCCAACGTGCAGGCAGCCCTCAAGTCTCACGCAAACCCTCCTCCCAGGGAATCTAGACTCAACAGCAACTGCCTCCTCATCACGCTTTCTGCACAGACTTATAATTATCTTGCTGTGTTGTGACTAGTTGCATGACTGACTCCACTAGTCTGAAAGTGCCTATGTATCCTCTTCTTGTAGCTCCAGCACTTAGCTCATTGCCTGGCACATAAAGAAAGGTAGCAGGACAGGACCGGGGTAAGTGCGCAAAGTTTAAGGGGATTGCCAAAATTCTCAGGGATCAAGATAAATGATATTTTCATGCAATATCTTTTAAAAGATCAAAACTCATGTGAAAACATCCATGACAAACAAATAGCAAAAGTTTAAATGAAGACAGAATAGTTTCCTTTTACCTCGGGTTCCAATGTGTCTCAACATCACACTGTAACTTAGCCTGGCTTTATTCAAACTTTTGCTATTTTTTTCACCATGGATGTTTTTACATGAATCTTGATTTTTTTAAACCACTGCAATAAATATCATTTATCTTGATGCCTGGGTTTTTTGGCAACTCCCTTACATTTTGGTGCACAGAGTGAATGCTGATGACTCTGTGTATCCACACATCTTCCACCACATTCTCTGACTCAACACACATCAAAGCCTCTTGACCAAAGGAAAAGGGACAGGGATCTCCAGCTAACACACTCTTTTTTTTTTTTTTCCTTTTTGTCTTTTTTCGTGACCGGCAACGGGATCGCAACCCTCGGTGTTGCGTCCGCACCTCGCTCAGCCAGTGAGCGGCCAGTCGGTACATGGGATCCGAACCCTCGGGGGGAGCGCCTCCGCGCTCCCAAGCGGCGCACTGTAGCAGTGCGCTACCGGGCCGGCCCTAACACACTCTTTTTTTTTTTTTTCCTTTTTGTCTTTTTTCGTGACCGGCAACGGGATCGCAACCCTCGGTGTTGCGTCCGCACCTCGCTCAGCCAGTGAGCGGCCAGTCGGTACATGGGATCCGAACCCTCGGTGGGAGCGCCTCCGCGCTCCCAAGCGGCGCACTGTAGCAGTGCGCTACCGGGCCGGCCCTAACACACTCTTTTTTACACTTGTCTGAAGAAGGAAGTGACAACAAAAACATGCCTTATTCTACAGAATTTGACCCCTTTCTGGAGTCAAGGAAGAACCATAGAGTGTCACTTCAGGTGGGCCCAGGTTCAAAATCCAGTTCAGCCAATTCAAACTATAGGACCTTGGGCAAAATTCTTGTGTAAACTGGAAGATAACCCTCCAGCCCCTCAGGTTTTCCTAAGGACTCAGCAGCACACTCGGTTCACAGCAGACGCTCCACAAATGTGAATTCCTTTCTCCCTGTCCCAAAAATAATGATCTATCAAGTGAACTAGTTTTATAGTTTTTTTCTCCATTGACATTTTCTTCAAAGCTAGAGAGATGTTTCTATAAAAAGAAGTTTCAATCTAGTAGAAAATAAACTTTTAATTAAGAAATTAGCAAAGCAAATCACTTTTAAAGGAGAAATGAAAGTCTTCTACACATTAATCCCTGAAAATAGCTAGGGGACCGTATCGCTAGAAATGTTTTTTGGAGAAAATTCATATCAGAACACACTGGACTTTATAGTAAAAGCTTCTATCATCTGTGATTTTCTATTGGGGATCAAAATACACATTAATCTCTTAATCAGCTGAGACTCCATATCCCAGCACCTGGGAAAATTACCTGAATTTTCGACATTCACTGACTGACTTGGGCTAAATAAAATAAAGCAGAACCCAGAAACCCAGCAGGGACTGCATTTCAGTACTCATTGGTGATAGAGTACCTAAGAGAATTGCTTGGGACAAGTCCATTCCTCTAATCAAGAAGCAAACTCACTCAAACGCATCACCAAATGGACCCAATACTTCTCTAAAGTGACTCTTCAGCTTGTGGATATTAAATTAGTTCCCTGCTCTCTTCGTAAATGCTAGCATGGCAAGCTCCTGGACACTGAGTTTCTTTCCAATGAAGTAAAAATCAAATTAAAAGATCATTATTATAAGAAATTTCTGCAGCAGGGTTCATTCTGCCAAGCATTCCACTAATTTACTCTTCCGTTCTTTACCCGGAGAATACAGTCTGACAGTTTACTCCATCTCCCCAGCAGATCTTTTCTTAAGTAAATAAATGCAGAGACACAAGTTTGCTATTCCAGGAACAATCTTAGGCAGCCACAAAGTTCTCTTGCCATCACAGAACAGCTACTTTGGCTAGCTGTTTCAACCTTGGCCTGAAAGGATTCCAAAACTCTTGACATTCTTTTTAATAATAAACCAAACCACGTTTGGATTTTCACTGCCACACTGTCTTGCAAATAAATACACATGGTGGATTCCCATTTGGCTAACAGAGTGCTCTGAGAGTTAAGATAGCTGGCCCTGCGATTGCTAACTCCCCCTCTTTATTACATACTCAAATCAATTTTTGCATTTTAGGTTTCTGCACCAGATTTCATTTGAACAAAAAGTTTTATAACTCAAAACCCACTAATCTGATCTAGGGCCCCTCTGCCCCCCCTTATTTTATAGACTGGGAAACAAAAGTCCAGAAGATAAAACAACCTATCCAAGGTGATCCAGCTAAGGAATCACTGGATGGAACCGATATTGGGACCTGCCGGGGAGGGCAACCGTCCCCACCAGGACCACATCTATAGAACCCTGGGTTCCTCGGAACACAGAAAACTGATGGGTCCTTCCATTCCATTCTTTCCTGGGCTACCATCTCCCTTGCATCAAATGTAATGAAATGCATTTATGGCTGACACTATTATGGAAGAGTGTGGAATTTCAAGGAAAGTAGACCAAGATGAAGCTACTCTCAATAGCTATGGTTATTGGTTTTCTGTCTTTGGCACCCTGGATAAAAAGAAATTCCTCCTTGGCTTTTCGCCTACCTTCTGTCCCTGTAAGTGGCATATAGGATTCTTCTATCCAGTCCATATCTGTCATGTTTTCATTTTCCCCAGAAATATTGGTTTCAATTTTTCTAAGACTTCCTGATTATCTTTCAAGTTTGATTTAGGCTTTTGGCTATGCTCCTTTTTTTTTAAATCCGCCTTGATTGTTATCAGTATAGATAGAAAGATCTTGACAGAGCAGCATTTGCAAGCTCCATCACTTAATGGTGTCTCTCTTTTCCAAGTTATTATCTCCAACCTCCAATGAGACTGTGCAGAGGTCCACTCCATGTGGCACTGTGCTAGAGATTGCCTTTTAACCTGGGGCATTTCTGTTACTCAGAGTCTCCTGCTCAGGAGACTTCTGCTATTTTCTGATACCAAGTAAGGGATTCCTAAGCCATCTCAGTTACAATCAGCCTGGTAATGTATAGAAGAAATAAATAATCTTCCTCGATAGCAAGAGGTTTACTTCTGAACTTAATAATAAAGCCAAACCAAGATTTCACAGCTGCCCAACTCCTGACACTTGAATTTATAAAGTTCTAATACTCTCCTATCCATTTTCATTCATAAAAGTTACCATTTTAGAGGGATTACACAAGAAAGCAGGTTTGGAATGCATAGGTGGGGAAAAAAAAAAAACATTAAACATGTTTTCCTAGCATCTTTATGATCTGTCAAGCTAGTCAGGAGCTATTTATGACATGTTTTTGTTTCAATTTTGTCCTGCTTGGCTTATTTTTTGTTGTTTAGTTCAACTGTAAAACATTTTTGCAATGAATAAAAGTTTTTTTTTTTTTTTTTAGCTCCTGGGCTCCTTAAAGCATTTTGGATCTTCAAAGTTTTGCATGCACAACACTTATTTTTCAGTAAATTTATCTTCAGATTAATCTGTCATTAGCTAATGATAATAGTAACACTTGTAAATTGTTTACAATGTTCCTGGTATTGTTCTGAGCTTTTTACATGGGTTAAATCATTCAGTTCTCACAATAACCCTCTGATTTGGTTAATATTATCCCGGCTTTATGGATAAGGAAACCAAGACACAGTAACTTGCAAGGGTCACCAGCTAGGAAATTAGGAATCATGATTCAAACCCAGGCAGTCTGGCCCCAGAATACATACCCTTTACCAGGAGTCTCTTCTGCCATTTTTGCTTTTGATATCTGCTGATCTTCACACTCACAGAGACCAGAACATAACAGCCTTGAAGAGACTGATAACAATCAGGCCATGGGGAAAAGACTGAGAAAATTGGGTAAGAGTCCGATTCCATGCAGAGAAAAAGTCATATAAAACTGGAGTGGAATCATCTAGCTCACAAACACAATGTACATACGTTTTCCATTTACATTTATGCTGTTCTATATGGTTTCTGAGTCAGTAAAAACCATTATTTCAAAGATGGGTGCAGCATTGCAGTGCAGATGTCTGGGGCTGCAGCATAGCTTATAATGCATTATTTATAGATGCTATGATGTCATATCTAAGAGAGACCTCTCCAGACATTAATTCCTTGGAAATCCATACTCACAAAGCATCAGTAATGCTCATCAGAACTGAATGCTCCCAGCATGGATCTCTGCTATTAGTCTGCAGGAAGGTCTGTGTAAAGATTCTGCATGGACAATTTCCCCAGGTCGAACAATATTTTAGTAATATCTCAATATCCAGCTTCCTCAACAGCAGAGTCAACTTACATCCTGAAAGAGTTTGTTCTTAGAACCCCCAAAACTCACAACATATTAAAGAAAACAAAGTAAGTATTT